GTACGTTTCGATTGATAAAGTGGTTGTGTAACGATCGTAATTTTAAAAATTGTCATTTTTTTTGCACACCACTGTATCTTTACGAATTCTTAGTAAATCTCATTAGGCCACTATGAAATATGCTCATCGATCATATCATTTACTGCATCTTCAAAACTAGCTTCACAAAAATCTTCAGAATCTACCAAATCGATATCAGTATCTGAACCATATATGATATCTTCATTATCATTCATAATTTTCTTATTATGGTCAAGTTCTTATAACAAAGAAGAATAAGGAGAGTTTTATATTTCTAATGATGTTTCATCTATCAAAAAATTATCTAATTCCTATTAATATATTTTATATTTTAGGTCAGTAATAGATGTAAATGATTAATATTTATATCAAATATTAATTGATTTCATGTATCTTGAAAGCTCACCTCAGTATTATTAAAGTTAGTCGATTCAACTCGAGATGATTTTTTTTAAATGGATCTGACTTTTCAAATACCTTTTCATCTTGAAAAATAACTGCATCATCATCACTAACGGTATTTTGTATCTCTTCTTGTTCATTTTTTACAAAAGGGTGGTAATACTGAATATGTTATGTCAAATCCTGTTATTTTATAAAGGTTTGGCTACATCCTTCGTAGAGATAACACAAACTCATTTTGTATAATTAATAATCTTTGTACTTTTTTAAAAAAATGTTTTTCATCATAAAATAAATAAAAAATTGTTATCGAATACTTTTATAACTGATTCATCAACTTGTGATCCAATTTTTATTACTTCATGATTATAAGATTTTAAATATATCAGATTTTTATTATTGGTGATCATTCATGATCCATATGCATCAACTAACTCCAGAATAACTATTATATGCCATTGATCAACTCTAGAATCACTATTACATAATCGCCTTTTTAATATGATTTATTAAGCTATTTTATTAATTCCTTTTTCATACGAACCATTTTCCCATATGAACCAATCTTTTCTTACGTGAACACTTCTTTCTTGTAATCATAAGTTTTATAACAAAATGTAATTTCTTCAGATTTATTAGAGTTTTGTAATTTTAGAGTTAAAATAATGCTAATGTAATATCTTTATATAATTAATAAAATAATGGAAAGAAGTTTAAGAGCGAAAAAAATTATAGGAAAAAAGGTATTATATTAATTTTATTGTTTACTTATTCAAATTATCAATTATATATTAAATATATTTTATTTTAAACTAGCTAAATTCCCAACTTTAGTAAAGATGCGGTCTTCATCTAGAATTTCTCCAACGATTCTATCACCATACTACCTATTACTACAACCAAATCTATACTAGAGAGTCCAACAAAAGTATATGTATCTTATTTTTCTTATTACTTACAAAATTGTTTCGATGTCATTTACAGGTTTTTCTAAAAGATCGCAATCAACCGTTTCCAATCAAATACGTCAAAATCGTAAAATGAAAAGTCCAAAAATCAATATAAGTGAATATCAAAATGAACGAGATGATAGAGATCTTGATAAAAAAAGAAATAATGATGATTGTTCTCTGAAACATATGACCAATCTCAACCTATAAATAAAAATGATGATTTTAACAATTCTAAAGACATTGAAACAGAATATGATGAATCAGATCACTTATCTTCTGATTTAGAAACTTCAAGAAAACGTAAACATGATATGGATGATATTGTATTAACGCAAACAAACAAGAAAATTGTAGTTAGTATATTATACTATTTTTAAAATCTAACCTGTATACATTCCAAGGATTTTAATTTTCTAATTTTTATTTTTTATTTTATTTCTCAATTTAGGAAATCATAATGAACGTTATATAGTTTCTGTGAAATTTTTAGAAAAATTAAACGGACAAAACAAAGTTATCTGAAAGAATCAATTGAAACAAGATAAAAAGCTTAATAAAATTATGAAGATTTTATCGAAACTACAACATAAAATGGCTTGTCATCCACTTTTTTTGATTTAAGCAATAAATAAAGATTTTTTAATTTGCTAATTGACAGAAAAAATCGTATGAATTTTTCTTTAATAGGTGTAATACTGTGCCTTATGATAATTCTTTTTAAATTTTAACTTTATTTCATTTTGTAAAACTTTTAATTTAATAGAAAGGTATTGTCACGATTACTAAGGATATACAAAAGATAACTTTATACCTTATTGTAGAGCTATTTAAAGGATATCTTGAAAGTTACATTGAAAAGCATTCTAAGGAATATATTAAAGATATTGGAAAACATCGTTGGGATTCTCATTTTTATTCAGAATTTATGACTATTGTAAGTATTGTTTCATGATATCATTTATTATATTATTCTTACAAACTTTTATTATCTATTATATTTTTTACTTGAGTTTCATATTAGTGTCTTGAAAAAATACGTCATCGTCAAAGTGCCATTGCCAAAGATATATGACTGGCACTTTTTAAGGTATTTTCTGAAGTTTTTGAAATAAAAGCAAATGCAGGTATAAAAATTATTGAATGAAAGAGAAACCCATGGGTTACCAAAGCATATACCAGTTTGTGAAAAGTAGATGATACCGGACTTCCAACGATCAATACAATTATCATGAAAGCTATATCTAGAGAAGATAAAGAAGTCTGTTTGAAGTCTTCGATAATTGCATTTACATTGCAAATTGTAGTATTGTCTTAAATCCATGCAGCAAAGATATTCGATGTACTGAAGAAGCTATAAGAAAATGATGTTCAATTTTCTTGGTAAGAATTAAATTTTGTATTAATATTTAGTGGTCTCTAATCAAGTTTGATTTATTATTTTATTAATAGAAATGATTAAAATCACAACAAATTCCAACTGAAGATAATGATTTAAAAAACGATGATAGATCAAATGATTATAATAGTACCATTAAAGAGGAGATTTCAGAAGAAAATCATTATGAATCTGAGGATGCTATGTTATTTGAATGAATACAATACATATATAACTAAAGAATATTATTTGTAAGAACTTTTTAATTTTTTAAAATAAATTATTTATTTCTTTTTTTTTTCTAATTGATATTACTATTACTAATAGATTTACAAGCAAAATAATCGCAATTATTATCATGACAAATTTCGTAAAGATTTTTATTTTATAAAAATATTGAATTGTTATGTAAACAAATAAATGCGCTATTTCAAATTATTAAAAAAATATCATCATTATTAAGAATCGGAAGATTCTACAAATGTTTATTTATATAAAATATATAAATATTAATAATCAGAAAATTCTACAAATGCTTATTTATATAAAATATATAAAATAAATAAATATACAATTTCTTAAAAATGATAATTATTGTAATTTTTTATATTCGCGGATTTTCAGAGGAGATAAGGATTAACAAGGTAATTTATAATCAATTATTTTTGTACATGATTAATTTGTTTAATCTCGGGATGATCAATCACAAATAATTCTGCGAATATGATAATTTGATAACAGAAGAGGCTAACATAAAGGAGCTAGGGTATGTTTGAATTTATGTCTAAATAATTTAAATTTTTAGCTGATTTTTTTTCTGCTTTTCATATTTAGGCTAAAATGAAAGCGGTTTTGAAAACCATCAGCTTAAAGGATGATTTAGACTATGATGAACCTTTTAATAGTGAGAAATTATCACATTACATTATAGTCTAATTCTGAAATTACAAAAATCCTTGGCTCTGAATTTCAGCCTTTATTAATCAACTTATGAACTATCTGAAAATCCTATAAGTCATATTAGTCAGCTCGAAAAATTAAGAAAAACAGAAAAGACCCTTTAGAATTGCAATGAATTCATAATAATAATCAAGTATATGAAGTAAATAAATAGAATATATTCTGAATTTGGATCTATTTGAATCATTAATTTAATATCATTTATTATTTATAAAAAAATAGCTCAGCGAATAAAAGCCGCAAAGTATTTGTTAAAAAAAATGACCAATAAATTGTGAAATACAAAAGGTGACCTTTACTCTAAATTCTTAGTAATCATTTATATCATTTACCAGAAATCAGTAAAACAGATGAAGAAAATCGTCAAAGATCTATTATCACTATATATGACTATTCTTGATAATTGGCTGAGATTTATTATTTTCTTTATTTAATTTAGCATATTTTGAATTTATTTAGTATATTCTACTAATATTCTTTCTTATTTTTATCTTTTAGCTGAAAATTTTATTGAAAAAGTACTCAATCCTTATACTATTACAACATCATTATCTTAAATTTAACGAAAAAGAAATACAATGATGATGTGTAGCATTATAATTGATTACATTCTTATAATGCTTCAAAATGATCATATAAAGCACAATCTAATATGGTCTATAATACTGAGATCAAAGCAGGAGTTATAACTGCAGAAGAATATGTAACTGAAACTGAAAAATATATTAAAGTCAAAAGGGGGTTTCATTCGCTGCTGAAGAAAATGAAGATGATCTCATAATAGATGATGGCGAATGATGAATTTTTAAACAATTTGGAATGGGAATAGATTGATTTTATTAATTATTTTTACATTTTTTTTCAGGTGATTTTGAAAATATATCAATTTTTTATTATTATCTTTACATTTTTTTGGATGATTTGAGTAAGAATAGGTCGATTTTATTATTATTTTATTATTTTCTTTATGTTTTTTCAGGTGATTTAGGTGGAAATAGGTCAATTTTATTAATTAATTTTTTACACTTTTTTCGGGTGATTTGGGTGAGAATAGGTTGATTTTATTTATTATTTTTTACATTTTTTTTTCAGATGATTTAGGGAACAGGTCAATTTTTATTATTATCTTTACATTTTTTTGAGCAATTTGAATGGGAACAGGTTGATTTTATTAATTATTTTTTATATTTTTTCAGACAATTTGGAGAACAGGTTGATTTTTTATTATTATCTTTACATTTTTATTTGGCAATTTAAGTAAGAATAGGTCGATTTAATAATTATCTTTACATTTTTTTAGGTGATTTAGGGAGAGAATAAATCAATTTTAATAATTGTCTTATGTGTTTTGGGTAATTTTAGATTGATTTTTCTATTTTTTACATTTTATATTTATTATTTTTACGTTTTTTAGGTGGTTTCAGAAGGAATGGATTATATTTTTATTATATATTATTTATTTATCTATATTTATGATGATTTAAGGGAATTTTAAAAGGAAATAGATCATATTTTATTATTTTATTATTCTATTTTAAATAGAAAATTAATCAATAGGCTTTAGTGATATTTTTTTTGTTATATTTTTATATTTTTGCAAATTTATATTAGGTTTTTATTATTAATAAAATTTTAATATTTAATAAATTTAATAAATAAAATGTATCGATTATTAATGCTGAATTGTTTGTCCAATTGAAGTCGATTAATATCAATTAATATCTGAATTATTGCTGAATTGATACTGAATTGAGGCTAATTTTAGGCTGATTTATGGTTGAATTTAAGTTCTAAATGGTCATGTCTGATTGGAATTGATCAGCATCTATCAGTACTTGTTTATGCTAATTAGAAAATATAGCAAATCAGCTGTAAATAGTATCAAAATTAGCCTAAAATTGGCCATCCAATTTTTAGCTGATTTGGACTATTTTGTCTAGTGTTAAGATCTTAATATTTCAGATTATATGATAATAATGCAATATTCAAATAATGGTAGTTTAAAAAAAAAGTTTACCAAAAATAATTAAATTTGATTGGGCTCATAAATTATTATTATACCTTGATATTATTAGTAGACTTAATAAAATACATAATTTAAAATTGGTATATCATGATTTAGTTAGTAAATTTCATAATATATAATTAAATATGCATATTCAAAAATTTTAATCAGTACTAAAAAAGATTTATATAATCTAACTGTTTTTCACATATTTATTTTTCTTTAAATAATGATCTTATTAATTTTCTAATGTATTGATATAAAATATTTTATAAATTTTTTTAAAAATAAAATATATTGGTTACTTACTAAATAATAAAATTTCTTTGAGTAAGACAGACCTGGCTGATTATATATAACTAAATATTATTTATAAGAGTTTATCCACCTTAATTACAGTAGGAATCATAAGTATCTGATCCCTTACCATTTAACAAATAATTAATAAATAATAAAAAATTTTTTTATTATTATAAAGTACAAGACTAATCCTGATCATTAATATATAGTATAATCTTCTCTCACTTCTATTAATGCTACAATCCTCCTTTTTATATTACTAATGAGTTTTTTAGCTAATTCATTTAATAATTAGTTCTATTCTTTTGTTAATTCTATCCTTAATCTCCTAGTTATACCAAATTTTTTTTTGATATTTTAATTTTCATAAGCTATCACACATTTTCTATAGGATTTTAGTCAGGTAACATAGACGGCTAAGGTAATACAATCACCTCATTTTCTTCTTTTCATTTTTGCAAAGTTTAAATAGTGTTTAAGATCATTTTCTTCCTACAAGATTCACTTTATATTATCTTTGCTAAAAAACTCACAGGCAGAAGGTAAGAAACCTTTTTATAAATACTATTCATAAAAAGAGCATTCAGATTTTGTTCAAAGCAAATTAACTTACCAAATTCTTTAAACAAAAAACAATTTCAAACATGAACCTTCTGTGAATGCTTGATTATACGAAATACTTTTTTCTTCTGAGTGAATTGCCAGATCTTTCTATTTGATTGGAATAATTAAAAAGTACTTTTATCAGTAAAAATGACTTTATTCTAATTGAATATTTAATGTTTTTTTGCCCATTTTAATTGGGCAGTTCTGTGCTTTTCAGAAAGCAAAGGTTTTGAAATTTCTTTCATAAATTTACCTAGCTCACCAAAATGTCACCTAATTGTACTTTTACTAATTGTAACACCTTGTTTTTCAAGTTTATTTTGTATTTCAGTAGCTATAATATTATATTTTTTCATTGCTATTTCACAATTCTCTTATCTTATATTTTAGTCGTGCTGCAAGGTTGACTTGACTTTTGTTCATCGGTTAAATTCTTATCTAGACAGTATTTTTAGATCTAATAAATTGCTGTAAACCTGCTACAACTAATATAAGAAGCTATTTTTTATAGCTCTACTTTAGACCTTTTGAATGTTCATATAAAAAAGCAATTTCATATCGTTTATTAAGAGAAAGTGCCATTTTTTGTGATGTAAATTCACTGATTATCTAACTCCTAATTTATACATTGTATGAACCTATAATTTTGCAGATGATTAAGATTATCATTGAACTTAAATCATATGAATTTTCATGGTAGGTTATTACATAACTTTGGAAAATATTTGGTATCAGATAATTATGATTACTACTATATTTAAATATTATTTTTTTTCTCTCTCTCTTGTCTATTTTGTCATCTACTTTGTATATGTAAATTATAAATATTAGTAAAATTTTGTTGACTTCTTACCTTTCTTATCTTCTTCACCTTTATCTAAAAAATTTGTATCCACAGCATATTATAATATATTCGTAGTTTATAATATATATTATAATATAAATCCAATCATTTTTAAAATCTATCTAATCAATCATAATTAGAAAAATCATGTTTTTTGCCTATGAGATAATATTATAATTTCATATATAGAATAATGTGAAATGTCAAGAGTTTATACAAAAAATCAACTAGAGATAATCTTTTAAAAGGATATACCTTATCAAGAAAATTTAATTCTTTTTTAATTTAGTTATCTTGTAAATTCTTAGGTTTTTGTGTTTAATTTTCAAATGATAATTTCAGATCTTATTTTAAGATTAATTCTATTAAAGATATTTTTAATTCAAAAAAAAATATTTAAATTAAATAAAATTTATTATTCGTAATAATTTTTGAAAACATCTAATAAAGTTTGATAAGATTTTGTTTCTAAAGTTGTGTAGATAAACAAAAAAATTGAGACT